TGGATCCCTATCATATTGCCTGCTCATTAAAGAGTCTGTCTTCCCTTATCCTACAAAGATAGCAACAGAAAGATGAACAAACAAACACAAAAGAAAGAAAGGATGGACTGATCTCTGCTGGTGGACTAATAATCATGTAACAGGAACAAAGAGTGCTCTGGATGATGGGCAGCACAACCACACCCTTGCCAGCTGACCCATCAGATGTGTCAGGGGTGGCATTAGGAACAATCACTGATCAGGAAATGTTGCTTCATTACTTCCAGTTCTGTTACTGGAGTAAAATGTCTCCTCTGAGAAAGCATCTTTTTACTGCTTATTACCTTCCTAATAGACTTTCTAGAATCAGAAATAAAATCAATATTTTTCTTGCTGTGCCCTGAAATAACATTCTTTTTCAAGTGTGGGATCGTTAATAAAATCTCAGTCTTCTTTTTATTTCTATGTATAATATAAAATCATACTCAGGATCCAATAGTATGGGAATTCTAATATAGTTACAGAACTTAGGCTGGTGAAACACTGTATAAATACAATAGCATTTTCTGGTATAGAAAAATTGCAAAGAGTGTTTTTACCATCCAGAAAACCACTTGAAAATTGGACCTTGGTATGTCTCTATTCTGTTTCATTAACCTCCTAACATTTTTGTTCAATGGGTGTGGAATTATTAGATAACCATAACTTCTACAGTGTTAAGCAGAGTTTACTGTGTGGTTTAATTTGTGCCATTAACCTGTGATATAAGCTTCAAAAAGTCCTTTCCTCCTAATGAACAAGAAAACAAGTTTTGTCTTGTTTTCTGACTAACAAACACAAACATGAAACCCAAGTCAATTAATCCTTACAGCATTAATATCTCTTCCACTCTCAACTGTCATAAAATATGTGGTAAACCCCTAAATTTTGGTGAGTATGGTCTTTCCTGAACCTTGAAGCAGGTAGAGGTCTGAAGGAAAGAATAACCTGTAATTATGCAATTCACATTATTATTGGTAATGGTAGAGGTATAGAAACATCTTTGGTTTCTCTTCAGCAAAGAAATAAGATTTGAAATGAGGTAACGAGGGGGGGAGTATTCCATGCACAGGCAGATGTCAGGTGAGCTTTGGTTGTCACCTGCTGTTGGGTCTGAAGCTTCTTCATCGTGAATGGGCATCATATAAAAGTTGTTCAGTCCTGGAAAAGGGGGACAAATGCTGGCAGTTCTTTGCCTACTTTAACCAGTATGAAAAAAGAAATAAGACAGTTAGAAAATGCTCTAAAGAAAAAAAGCTTCAGACGCCCTAGAGATCATCTATTTTGAAATCAGACACTTAGAGATAATGGAAGTCGTCTTTAGAAAAAGAGAAAGTTTCTACAGAAAAGACTCTGTAATCCAGTCATCATTTAAAATGCACATTTTCTGTCCTGTATGAGAAAAAAAGATTTCTGATAGAGAGAAGGCAAATACATTTAGAATATAATACAATAAAATAGGAATAAAATAAAATAATAAAATAATAAAATAATAATAAAATAATAAAATAAGGAATGAACTTTCATTATTCAATAAAAATTTGAAAAGACCAAGAAACTTTTCAGACTGAATTAAATGAGGAGCTCACCTCATTGAAGATGACTCGTAATTCAAGAAATTTATAACAGTATAGAAGAAAACAGAGAGCAGATGGTGCAAAGAATCCTCAGTGCAAAACACAGATCAGGGCTGAGCTCAGAAACCACCCTTCAGCCTAGGACCAACAGCAAGAAAATGCTACCATTAAAGTGATTAAAAGCCATGCTGAGTTTCTAAGCATTTATTTTTTTCAAATGGTTTCATTGGGAACCAAATTAGAGTTCTCCTGCAGCTACTGGATTTGAAACAACTAATTAAAAGAACTTCCCATTGATTCATCATAGGAACATTAGAGTAGTCTTTAGAAATGGGAAAATAGGATTTACCTATCTTACAATTGTCTGGTTAAAAAGAGCTTTAGCAATAAATGGATAGGATCTTTAGGGTCTAATTGACTTCTGCTCTAGTGAGCAACAGTTATAAGAGGCTGAAATTTCTCCATAGAAAGCAGTGCCTTTAGTAGCACTTCGCAACAAAAGAAATAGAAAGTGAGCTGGCTGCAGCTTTTAATTACTTGGTTTTATTCATCTGTTTCTTCCTACAATAAATTTCTGGCTGGAATACTGTATGACAAATGCAGGAGCATCCTTCTACACAGGTAAGAAATGGTCAGTGGTGGTTCTTTTGTGTCTTTTTGTTAAAAAGTACACTTTTTTTTTTTTTTTTTACCAGTACCCTAATACAAATACAAATGCTTCTCATAGTCACAGCCTTATCTGCACATCTCTGCATTTTGGTTCAGAGGATTCAGTGCTGGCACAGTGCTACAGGTGTGATGTGAGCCTCCCGGGGGGGGGGGGGGGTTTGGTTTCAAGTGTAGGTCAAGCACAGCTGGTTTAGGAGAGATCTAAAATAATTTACTTGCCTTAATTTGCTACTGAGTTGTTTCCCAGAAAGCAGACTTGGGTTCTTTCTTATACTGAACTTTTGAGAGGACCTTCTGATGTGCCAGGACTGTGCTTTGACATGCGATTCCTCAAATGGAAGAGTTACTGCCGTGAGCTCAGGCTGAAAGCATGCAGAAATTGCTGAATACATTTGGAAGTCAGAACACAAAGAAAAATCCCCGTCTTGAGTACATATGAAAAGCTTATAGAGGTTGGGTCATAATTTGAAGACACGTTATATCAGCGATCTGTACTTTAAAAGCCTAGGAGGGCCAAGAATACCCTTTTATCTACAGCTTAACCTGATATTTTCTGTAATCGATCTTAATCACTTCACAAGGTTTGGGTTGTCCAACCAGGGAACCCCCAAATGCGGTGAGATGAAGTCACAATGTGCTGGGAAGGTGTTCCTGCTGAGACCCGTCACCCGGGAGCAGGCACACAGGGTGCACCAGATGTGTCTGGAAGGTTGCTACAGCTCCCTCAGCCCCACCTGTAAATCACAGCTCAATACCAGTGAATGACTCAAAATAGCAAGAAGTAAACAAATTTAAGAGAGCAATGCCCTCCTAGGCCCTTGATCAGTGTTTAGCAAATACAAATCCATGTTTGCTACCTCCTGATTTCCTTTAAACAGATCTTTCTTTGTATCTTGCTTGGAGTAGCTGATTTTGCCCCACAGAAATACTACAAGAGCTCAGCTTCACCCTCAGTTTCAAGAGTAAAAATTTCATGTCAGCTGAGGGAGTAGTTATACGTACCCAGGGATCACATTGTGATCCAAATCCTATGAATTCTTTTCATTTATTTGTTTGTATTTTATTCTGTTTGGTTATTTACATTATGCTTTTTAAGGACTTCCTGAAAACTGGGTTAATCTTTTATTCAGTATGGCACGAAATCTTTTTTTTTTCTCTGATACCCTCGCATCAGACCTGTGGTTAAAATGGCATTAAGTACAAGGGTAGAACGGTTTCCTGTATAAGCTCTGTGTAGTCCACTTAGCACTTTGGTAGTTATTTTTCATTTGGTATTACATGTTGAGTTGAGGTTTTTTTCACATCAGAGAGGACTGGACTATTATCCCACAGAATAGTTATCCAAAGGGAGGAGAGACAGTGGATGGAAGTTTGTTTTCTCTCTCAGATAGTGTATAATCACAGAGAAAGATGTGCATGTCTGTGTGTAGAGTTTCCCTTTTTTCAAAGCCAAACAACCAGTTTTGTTTTCTTCAGCGTTTGTTTGCATTCTAGAATGTATTTATTGTTTTCATTTCTTAAACTTCCTGAAATGTTTACAGGAAAGAAAACTGAAGCGTGAAATTTTGTGCTTAGAAGCAGATTCTTATTTCTAGGGAGACTCTTTCATTCAAAAGATAAAACCAGAAGTCATAAAAATGTGTTATTTTTAGGAGAATGCTCCATGGAAACTTACAAGAAGTTAAGTAAGATTCATAATAGAGAGGAATGGGGGAGGGGGTGTAATAAACTGATATTTTTTAGTGGAAAGACATATAGTGAAAGCTGTGAGCCAGTTATGGTAACTGGTTTGTTCAGCTTACTCAGTTGTGTTTAAGACCGTTGAACAACATGACTGGTTTTCCTGCAATAGTTGGGAAAGCTGCATGTCAATACTGTCAAAACAACATCAGCATCTGGAGATTATTAGACCTCCTTTAACATGCCTGACCAGATTAATAAAATAAGCAAAGATCGTTTTCTAGAATGCGATTTTTCACCATTTTGAAGTTACTGCATAGATAACTCTGTATCTTCAGTCCTAAAAGGGGAGAAAAACTATTTCTTAAAATTGGTTAAACCCATAGTGAGATAATTTGGCTCTTGGGTGCATCCATTCCAGGCATGTTGGATCTCAGAAGCTGCTGGAGGCAGTTCCGACTCACTGTGCTGCTGCAGACCTGCAACATCAATTATGGCAGGTGGGTTTGGGGCACCTTTGCCCCCACAGTTTGCCCACAGCTCAGTCCCTGACAAGCTGGCTCTTCCATGCACACAGACACCTCACCAAAGGGCTGAATTCCCTGCTGCTGCCAGCCCAACTCGCAGAAATACCCCAAAGAGTAAATTTGAATGTACATTGTACACATTGGAATTATACCATTAAGTGAAGATTAACCTGAATGTAGAATTTACTGTCTCTGAAATGTGGTTCTGCTCTGGACAAGATGCCCTCGGAGCCAGCAGTGCCACCTGGTTGTGCCCAGCCAGTGGTAGGGACCAGCACAGGCATTTCTTTCTGTATTTTTGCATACAGCCATTTTTCAGGAGCTGCTCTGCACTTCAACAAAGGAGTTACTAGTGTGTGCTTGAGACATTAATTCCAGGTTATATGGTTTCCCTGAGAATTGCCATCTGTCATGCTTTGCTGTCTGGAGGTCACTCAAAGTCACCTCGGGTTGGTGTCCTCAGACAGTAGGTTGAAAGGATAAACCGTGTGCTTCGTCTTTAACCCTTAGTTATCCTTTTCCCTTTCAGCACCCACCTTGATAGGTATGGTAAGGAAGGACTGGGCTTCCCAAAACAGCATTGCCCTCTCCTGGCAAGAGCCGGACTTTCCCCATGGAGCAATTCTGGACTACGAGATCAAGTACTATGAGAAAGTAGGTCTCACAGCATCACCCAAACTCAGATCCTAAAGATCAATGTGTTTTATATTTTTAATAGTATTTTTTAAAAACACTTTAAACTTTTCACTTGATCCCACACGCAATGCTATGTATGCTAAAGTAGACGTTTTATTTTGTACTGGATTTTTTTGTTGTTTTACTTCTAACTTGTTAATGACTGCCTTGTTTCACATCAGAATCAAGTAGAACAGCAAGCAGACCATACATATACTTGTCAAATGGTAGCCACATTTACAAACGTGGGTAAATGGATCATATGCTTGAACATATTTTGATTTATGGACTCTAAAAACGTCACATTAGAATGACACTGAAGCAGCAGAATTAAGGCGAATGGGAACATGATTTCATTTGTTAAATAAAGCAATAATCTGTGCTTAAAGGACAGAAATACAGTCATGAAAGAAAGATTTGGGGATGTTAGGCTCTGTAAGTAACTGAGGATTTTCTTCCTTGATTGCACTTCTCTATTGCTGCAGCTTTAATGATGCAGAAAAAAAGGGTAAACTGGGAAAGAAATCCAAACAATTTTGATAGCAGTGTAAGAGGGAGAAGACAGATTGCTTAGAATATTTGGTAGCCAAAGCAAGGAAACCCTACTTTCCTACACTAGAGGAAGTCCTTCAGGTTTTAATCCATTACCATAGTAAGCCACAGCATGACTTGAAGTTCCTTTGTTTCATTTGTTGATATTGAACATGAGAAATTGTGAGATTTTATTCAGTTGAAGAGGAACAGTTCCAAAGACCCATAACCATTTGTATGGATGGTAAATTATAAAGCTTCTCTATATATTTATTAAAATCCTTTATCAATAGATTATCTGCCAATACCTGCCATGGCTGAGTGACAAGGCAAACAGCTTTCCTTAGAGATCTAGATATTACTTAGCCTTGATCTTTGTGCAGAAAGACTACATACACAGGCTTTGTGGCCCTTTGTTATATACAGTTTAAACAACTCCTGTCTGTTTTTACAAAGTATTTTCTGTTTCCACCTTTTTAAAATATAGAAGGAGTATGTTCTAACTACTTCTCTTCCCTCTTAGGTGTGGGGAGATAAAATGCACTACTGGCATCTTCCGGTTCTTCTTCACCTTGGAGCTCTGTGTGTTAAATAGCATAGTTTGTGTCTTGTCAGGGGTAGACATAGCAAGTGAAGCTGTAATCTCTCAGGCTTCCCACTAACCCTCAAAGAGGGGAATACTGGCATTCATGTTTTCAGCAGAAGTGACAAAATAGGGATGTTGTTGCACACCCACAAGAAATATGATGAAAGTGAAATAATTGTCTGCTGGATTTAGTATGAATTTGCCACAAAGGCATCCCTGTAGTAGAGAGTAAAAAATGCTGCTAAAGTTGAAGAACATGTTAAATATGAAAAGGTCAGAAATTTTGTTAACGTCTTAGGGAGGTAAGAAAAATGCAGAAACCAGTAGCCTTAGATACTAATAAACACACTAGGTAGAAAAATGGAACAACTTTTGCAGTCCTGTTTTTATCCCTTTTTACCTGTCATTTGTGTTTAATAAAGAAAAGAGGGGTTCTGATATGCAAGGTAAGAAATTGAACATCTCCAGCAAATACAAACACTCAATCCTCCAAATTCATCTGATTATATCAGTTTATTAACTTTGTGAAACTTTGAAGAATTATGTAGGATTCTAAAGTTTTACAAGTATTACTGCTATTTCTTTTAAGATACCTTGTTGACATTTGAAAAATTGTCAATATATCACTGGGCAGTACATTAAGGGACCATGTCTGTTTTTAATTATAACCAGTAGGAATTTTGTGGGTCATAAATGGAAGTCATATCTTGCCATGGGCTCCTGGAGTTTCCTGAAAGATATGTAAACTTCAGAAATCAAATAGCTGTCAAATAAACTGTAAGCAGTACCCAAAATGGGGCAGTTTCCAACAATGTCATAAGAAAAATTAGAGATGGAGAATGCAGAACACAGAGATGCATCTTTCCATGCATATCCAGAACAATAGTCAGTGAATTACTGTAGAACATTCAGGATCATAAACAAATATTGTTTGGCTTTCTGTCTGCCTGTAGAATGAAAATCCTGTGACTAACAAAATTCCATTGTGAGTTAGTTCTGTATGGACTGTACAGGTTTTTAGTGTCTTGTTTATGAATACACTGGTACATTTTTATGTTGTTGTGTGACAAGAGGTCAGTTCATTCTGCAGCTTTTGGGTCACAAATGCAGTGAACATAAACTAGCCTAGGACATAATTAGAGAGCTGATTTGACCTGTGAGGAGAACAAAAATTCCTAGACATTCAGTCCAAGGTGCTGAGTTCTGTCACAGTAAAGGGAAAGGGTTTTCCATTGCTTAAATAGTTGTGTGATATAACCAGAGAGAGAATATCATGATCCTGCAATAATACTTTGTGTTGATGCCTGGTAGTCGAAATACTTTATTTCAGGTAGATTATGAATAATTCTGAAACCTGTAGAGTTGGCAACATTTGTCACCTTAAATGATAAGTGAACCTTTACAGTAACACACAGAGACTCAGTTAAATGTTTACCCTTTGAGATTTGAGATGTACTTATAAAAGCATTTCTTCATAGACCTTCTTTGGACTCTTCAGATAGTAAACATTGCAAATTATCTCTGTTGATAGAGGATGTCTGCCCCACTCTGCACCCTGTTGTCTATACATTATACTTTATAATCCCTTGATATCATCCACAAACTGCCCACAATTTCTAAAAGAAAAAATCTCTCATGGGCAGTATTGTCTTTCCCTTTAAAAATCAAACTTCATGCAACAATATAATCTCAGTTTCATTGCTAACAGCAGTAAACTTTTATACTTCAAAACTGTCACTCAGACAGTGACCAAAGCTTGTACTCTTTGCAAGATTCCAGGGCATCATAATCTCTTTACCTCTCATCAAAAAGGTTGCATGTTTGAGACAGATGAAGGAGTGGGATAAGATATGGCCTTGTTAGAGGCTTGTAATGACACTGAGTCCTTCTGTAGGAATTGCCTCCTGGGAAAGGAAACACAGAACACAGTGGATATAAACCATATCAGCTGCACTTCGGGTTGTGCAGCTGAACTGGAAAATGCTTATTCCTCCCCTTTTCCCCCCAGCCCCATGAAGTTAATCATCAAAAATTAATGCTCCCTGAGAGCTGTATCAAGCATACCAAGCTGTATAGGTATCAGCAACTGTATTGTTTGTTCTCTCATATGGCCCAAATACACCAGCTGGATTATACTTTCTATTACACACAAGATAATATATAATTAGCTAAGGGTACCTGTCTATAGAGAAGAGATTTTAATGGAATGCACCCTAGTAATATCCAAGGCATTGCAATATCTCTAAACAAAGAAAGTAGAGAATATCTTTTGAATCAAGATGTTGGGGGAGGTGGGACTGGCTGATATTTCTTTGCTTCCTTGTCTTTTGATTAAATTTACACTAAAGCCAAATCCCTTTGGCAAAATACTTCATTTTGTTGGGAGACTCAATTTGCAGCTCGTAGGCTATTTTCACATGAAAGATTTAAGCCACCTCCATAGGACAATGAGTGGACAGGATATGTGGGATGTCAGATATTACTTTTTGTCCATTCCAGTATGATTTAGAGTTGAATTAATAAATAAAAATGAGAAAATAACCGTGCAGTGGAGGCAAGGGGGAAATTAGTTTTCCAATGAGATTTGAAAAAGGGATGAAGAGCTGATGAGGCAGAGAGATAGAGCAAAGTACCAGAATTAAAGAATTAGAAAGCAGTATGACCTTGTTAATTTTTCTATCAGTCTACAGTTGTATTTACTTAACTTACATGAGAAATGATGCTCCTTCCTAAAATCTAATATTAAAACAAAAACCCCTATTTCTTTGAATAATCATTAATGTGAATTAAAATGAGCCCTCCTGAATTTGAGTAGCTGAATTTAAGGTACATGACATGATGGGAATAATGCAAAGATTTAAGACTATCAGTGCATAATGTTTTGACTGGCGGAAATATTTTTGCAAAAATTAATACGGAATATTATAAACAAGAAAGTAATTTTGTCTTTTAGAGCTGTTTGCCTGTAGTATCCTGTAGTTTAAATCAAATCTACCTGTTCTAGAAATATGTACACAATATTTTTTCAAAGCCTTAGGAGCGTAGATATATATTAGATTATGCACTGCGCTTTGAAGGCAAAAAGATGTACAGAGCTATGAACTGATATTCTTGTCACTTTTTTTTCTTCATTTTTTGAGGAACAGATAATCTTGTGCTGTGCTCAGTCTGGGAACACACCAGGCTCCCTGTCACACCAGTGTCCAAGCTGTTTTATTCTATCTTTTATTCCCATGTGACCTGGCAGTGTAAAGTGTGTGACTCATCCTGGTTTAGGACAGCAGATGCTCCTCTGCGTCTTCTCCAGCTAAGGAGATATTTCATTATGATCCTCTCGGGTTAATTAACCTAATCCTACACGAGCATTGTCTGGAATCCAACCTCAGTGAACAGGAGCCACACGTGTTCTTATTAGACAAGATATGGATATTTCTTTTAAGCCACTTCCTGTAGATCAGACAATACTCTGAATTTCTGTGTGACATTTTGAAAACGAGAAGTAAAATTAGTCATTTCTCCTCTGTGCCTTTCTGTGAGGTCTATATGACACATTTGAGGTTCATCGACTCTCAGCCTCCTACTACTTAAATAGCCAAACCTCTCCAACCTTCCAGCTCTTTAATTACAATCTTGCATAATGTCTAAATGAGTCAGAAGAAACATGTTTTTTTTCAGCCACAATTATGTTACAACTTCCCTATTTCCTTGAAGTACCAGTTATTACATTCTTGGTTCAGATTTTGCTTTTATGTTAGGTTTTTAAATCATGAAGAATAACATATGCCCTAGCTCCAATTGTCACGAGGTTGAAGGGGGCCTGCAGGCTGTGTGACATAACTCATGGGCAGATGTAGTTCATTTG